GTTGACATTTGAAGAAGTGGCCATGTATTTTTCCCAGGAAGAATGGGAGTTACTGGATCCCACTCAGAAGGCCCTCTACAATGATGTAATGCAAGCAAACTATGAGACTCTCATCTCTCTAGGTAAAGATTCTTCCCTTCCTTTTGGGTAGGAGTTGAGTGATCTGTCTTGTTCTTGGCTTATTGGGAATGCACCCCTGTGAGAGAGTGTCTGTTCCAGTAGTTGGTTGGTTCTCAACTAGATGATGTGGGCAGAGGAAATGTGTATCCAGATCGCCTGGGGAGCTTTTCCAAGTGTACGTGTTCATTCCGTATCTAAAATTCTTGATCTGTCCTCCATTCCCCCCAAATCTGTTCTTCTCCTATCTTTGTCATCTCTGTAATGGACACCACAATTCACCCAATAATTCAGGCCAGAAAACTCACGTTATCCTTTACTCTGATCTTGCCATCACATCCCACTACTCATGTATCACTAGTCTTGGCTCCACCTTCATAGTATAGCCTGAGTCCAACCATGTCTCATCCTCCTGCTTTGTTAGCATCCTGGTCTACACCAGGGGCATCTCTATGCAGGTCCATCTCAGTAGCTTTCTACCTGGTGCCTCCTGCCACCACTCTTGCCCTTCACAATCTGTTTCCCACACAGCAGCCAGACTCTTAAAAACCTGATCAGATGTGACATTTCTCTGCTTCAAATGATAATGACTTCTGATACATTCAGAATAAAATCCAAACTCCTTAACAAGACACCCAGGACCCTCCAAGTTCTCACCCCTCCTCCCCTCCCTGGCATCTCCTGCTGGTCATGCCCTTCTTCAGTCCTCTTTAGCCGTACTGGTCGTCTTGCTGTCTCTCGAACTCTCAAAGCTAATTTCTACCTTCCCATTTCCTCTCTCTAGCACACTGGCTTCTGAGTACTACATTTTCAAACACCTCTGTATTTTGCCCAACTCAGAACAATTTATGTCATGTAAGGAAAAAAACATTTCTTTATTTGACTTTACTAATGATACCAAACCTAAAACTGGGAACCAGTTTTAGGGGCTGGTAGATGCTTGATTCTTGTTTACAATGAGAAAGCCACTTCTAGGTAGTCACATCTCGTAAAGGTATCCCATCTTTAGTGAAAGAATCAGGATCCTCTGTATTTTAGAAATAAGCTCAGGATGTTCATAGACAGAAGCAAGAGAAATTTCCTCTGGCTCTTTTCCACCCACAGCTGTGCCTGCTCACCAGATCCTAGCCTTTCCTGAGCAGACAAGTACCAAAGACTGGACAGTGGCACCTGAGCTCATCCTGCCTGAGTCCCAGGTGAGCTCTGCTTTCCAGCTGTTTATGGCTGCCTTTCCTTGCTGCCCATGACCCACCCTGCCCAGCAGGTGCTCAGAGGGGTGTTAGCCCACATGTTCTCCCTGGGGAACTGGGCACCTCCCAGGCTGTTTGCTGATCTTTTGCCTCCTTCCTTTTTGCCTTCTCACTTTAAAGATTTTATTTATTTTATTTTTTGCCCCCAAAGCCCCAGTAGATAGTTGTATGTCATAGCTGCACACCCTTCTAGTTGCTGTATGTGGGACTTGGCCCCAGGATGGACAGAGAAGTGGTGCCTCAACGCGCACCTGGGATCCGAACCCGGGCTGCCAGCATCGCAGCGCGCGCACTTAACCACCAAGCCACAGGGCCGGCCCTGCCTTCTCACTTTAAAAAAAAATCACGTTAATTCCTCAGTGCCTGGCCTGCCATGCAGTTCATGGGCCAGATGGTAGGGCTGCTTCTGTAGTGGCAACTACTGAGCTGAAGCCCATTCTCTTCTTTAGAGCTTGTTGACATTTGAAGAAGTGGCCATGTATTTTTCCCAGGAAGAATGGGAGTTACTGGATCCCACTCAGAAGGCCCTCTACAATGATGTAATGCAAGAAAACTATGAGACTCTCATCTCTCTAGGTAAAGATTCTCCCCTCCCTTTGGGTAGAAGTTGAGTGATCTGTCTTGTTCTCAGCTTACTGGGAATGCACCCCTATGAAAGAGTCCTAAGTACACATTCCTTATCCTAAACAGAATTTATGATTTCTATCCCCACTTTTCTCTAAACCTGCCCTTCTCATTATCTTTCTCTTCTCAGTAAAGGGTAGCCCCATTCATCCAGTTGCCCAGAACAGAAACACGGTCCTCTTTTACCTTGCTCTTACTGTCACACGCCACTACTCATGCATCACTAGTCCTTTTGGCTCCACCTTCATAGTATAGCCTGAGTCCAACCATGTCTCTACCTCCTTCTCTGTTAGCCTCCTGGTCTACACCAGTGTCTTCTCTATCCAGGTGCAACTCAATAGCTTTCTAACTGGCACCGCCTGCCGCCATTCTTGCCCTTCACAGCCTGTTTTCCACCCAGCAGCTGGACTCTTTTAAAAACCTTATCAGAAAGTGACATTTCTCTGCTTCAAAACCTTATGATAACTTCTCATCACATTCAGAATAAGATCCAAACCCTTTACCAAGACACCCAGGACCCTCCAAGACCTGGCCTCTGCTCCCTTTCCTGCCCTCATCTGCCACTTGTGCCCTGGTTCAGTCCTTTTAGCCACATGGGTGTTCTTGCTATTTCTTGAACTTGCCAAGTGCCTTTCTGCTTTCCCCTTCCCTCTGCCTGGCACACTTTTCTGCCACGTGGCTAAACTCTCACCTTTGGATTTCTGCTCAAATATCACTTTCTCAAAGAGATTTTCCACTCAACCTTATCTAAAATATCATGACAGAAGCAGAATCTTAAATGCTCTGTTACTCTGCTTTAGTTTTCTTCAAAACATTTGTTACTTCTTGACATTTTAATTGTTTATTGATGTTTGGTTGTCTCACTCTCCCCCTAGAAGATAAGCTTGATGGGATCAGGGGAGAAATGATGATGAGGGAGAGATGATGATTTGGCTTTTTTACCACTGTATATCTAGCCCATGGAGCATGCCTGACACACCATAGCCACCCAACACATATTTATTGAATTACTGAGTGACAAATACTTTCCGTAATTGGCAATCTGTATTTAGAGAAAGTCCACTGATTCTGGTCTCTTTCCTCCACATAGATGTGAACAAGTGAGCTATAGGAGTAATAGGAATCTTTCCTAGTGCAGTCAGTGTCTGGTGTTTGAGAGCTAAATAAAAAGTTACCATAATTATGTCAGGAATCACTTGTGCATGTGAAACGCAGCCCACTGACCTTCTCATTGGCTCCGCTAGACCTGGGCTTGTCCAGGACAAGTCCTCCAAAAGAGTTAATAGGACCAGCCTGTATTCCCTGCAACCTCTGGAGTTTGTTCCACCTTGATTGAATATGGGGTATTCTTGGTAGCAGAAGAAGGGGCATATGCACTGGATTCCCATTCCCTATATCCTTTTCATTGATCCAATTTAGGTATTTCTCAGTCTCTGCTTTGCATATCCATATAAATGCAATATAGTATAAACCTGATACCAGATATGAGAGTCTATGCATTTCACCATTTGGGGTAGCAAACTGTAAAAGTGTGCTTTGCTCTTCCTGAAACAGTCTGGAATTAGTGGACATTGTTAAGTTACCAGTCCTTGACCTCAGTTTTTCCATTTCACAGCATTATTTGTGCTCCCCAAACCTAAAGTGATCTCCTGTCTAGAGCAAGGAGAAGACCCATGGGTTCAAGGATCCCCAGAATTCAAGGACAGTCCCAGAGAGCTGCCTACAGGTAAATACACCATGAGAAGGGAAGAAATGTGCCTTGATAGGAACCCTTGCAAGGGCTTAATATTTTAAGATTCTACTTATCTACTTTTTGAACAAGAAGTAGTCATTGAATTTTTCTCTCCACTTCTGTGGTTTCTTGCTCTGCCATATAGTTGACTGATTCTTATGCTTATTCCAACAGGGTTAAAGCTAAAAAATGACACTGAAAATCAGCCTGTGTGTCTTTCTAACTTAGAAATACAAGCCCCAGGAGACATAGAATCAAAAAAGGCCAGCATGAAAGTTCCCCAGAAAACAATGGGCAAGGAAAATAATGGTGATATGCACAGGGTGGGGAAATGGCATCAAGATTTTCCAATGAAGAAAAGAAAGAAACTTTCAACCTGGAAACAAGAGCTGCTGAAACTTATGGATCTTCACAAGAAAGAGCATGCAGGAGAGAAGCCTTTTAAATGCCAGGAATGTGGGAAAAGCTTCAGAGTTAGCTCTGACCTTATTAAGCACCAAAGAATTCACACTGAAGAGAAGCCATATAAATGTCAGCAGTGTGATAAGAGGTTTAGGTGGAGTTCAGATCTTAATAAGCACTTAACAACACACCAAGGAATAAAACCATATAAATGCTCATGGTGTGGGAAAAGCTTCAGTCAAAATACAAATCTCCATACACACCAAAGAACTCACACTGGAGAGAAGCCCTTTACATGTCATGAATGTGGAAAAAAATTCAGTCAGAATTCCCATCTTATTAAACACCGGAGGACCCACACAGGTGAGCAGCCTTACACTTGTAGCATATGCAGGAGAAACTTCAGCAGGCGGTCAAGCCTTCTTAGACACCAGAAACTCCATCGGTGAAGGGGAGCTTGTCCAGTGTCCTCCGTCTGAAGAAATTCACCAGGTGAAACTTGACACTAAAGTTTATGAAAAAATACCAAATTATGAAGCATGAACAATTTTTCATCAGTGGAAAGTTTGGGGATATAAACATCACGTTTCACAGAAAGAAATCAAGGTTGACTCTGCAGGGATGTGTTGGTAGTTGTATATGTACTGTTTTTTCTTATAATTTTCAGGGAATTCCTTAGCAAGAGAGGTGTTCTAAGAACATCCTGAATAAGGGGAAAAGGTGGTTTGGGATTGTACCTGGCAAAATAGCAAATTCAGCTTCAAATAGCAGATGCAGCCATGAATCAGTCACTATTCTGTGGTCACAGAGCTAAATATTGTTGGTTTTGCATTGATCTCCCCAGCCACTCTTAAACACATATGGTAGAAACATTTGTAGCATTGGTCTTTTGGTCTTCCAAAATAAAAAGCAATAATATGCATGTTTAATTGCATACCATTGTCTTCAAGTTAGCAGGCTTAACAATTTCAGTAATCTCATGGGACAGAAGTTAATTCTACTATAAAGTTTTCCAAGAACCAAATTGGATTTTCTTCCTCTCTTGTCATTGGACATTGTTCACAGTGTTGGACATCGTTTGAGTTCCTTCTTGAACTTTTTAGCAACTTTAGCTCTTGAATTCTATTAGCACAATTTTTACTGTAATGAAATAATATTTACTTTACCACTAGGGAATCTGCCAGAAGAACTAGTAGTGCACTGTCTTATGCCTCTCATTGGTGGTGTTTGAAAAAAGAAAAACATCTCTAATGAGATTATATGGAAACGGGTTATGGAGTATATATTAGATGTAAAGAAGAATTTTCTGCAATAAAAGAAACTAGATTGTTGCCTTACCTCGGAATGTCAATAGGATAAAACAGCCATAAAAATTAACACTCTCCTGAGTCCTAAAAGAAACTTATTGGGAGTTCAGGATCAACTTTTCAGGTTTTTGTTTGCTTGTAATTTGGCTTTTGTTTGTTATTAATTATGAGGAGAGAGTTATGTTTGGGAACAGGAGTGTATGCTGCAGTGCTGTGGTTCACTGGGAATGGTGTCCTGGGAATCCAGTCAGTAGAAGACCAGGTTCCCAAAGGAAAGGTTTGGGAACTGATGCTGAGTGGTGGGCAAGGCTGAGCGAATCCACATGCATGTTGGTTGTCTTACACTGTAAACTGTTAAGCAGGGAGGGTATACCTGTCTCTGTTTTCTCCAGCACAGCATTTAACAGCAGCCTTACATGATAAATTTGCTAGACTGCTGAAAATCTTTTTAGGCTATGCATTTTCTTATAACTCACCCTTTTATCTACAGCAGTGACTCAGATGTGTTCCTGTTAGAACTTGTAGGTAGTATCTGGAAAGAGGTTAAATTATCTCTTCCAAATTTTTCATTTTATAAACTAGGAAGTTAAGGCTCAGAGAGATACAGGGACTTGTTTAAGGCCCCATAGCTAGTGGGTCTGTTTGCTGTCATGTAGCTTTATCAGTCAGGCCTGAAGGCAGGATTAGCAAGACTAATTTGTATGTTATCCCTGCACAGCCAGCCTGGATGACGTTGTATTGTATCTATTTCTAGCTTATAAAACCTTCTGGTTTCTTGATTGGTTACTGAAATACTCTTAAGTGTCCATTTTCTCTATGAAATAGAGATAGCACTCAACTCAGTGTTGTTCTAGGGCTTAGAGAGATTGATGAAAGAAAAGCACCTAACAGCCTAGTCAATAGTAGGTGCTCAGTCAATGTGTGTTTCTTTCCGTTTCCCCTGCTCCACAGTGATGTTGGGTGGACTGACTACATTAAAGAAGCAGATGCATTTGTGGCTATTGCAGCTCCTTTCAGGAGCTAAGCACTGGTGGTGGTGGTTATGCTAAGTTGATTTGGTCCTTGGCTTCCGTGCTTTATGGTGTAAGTCACCTGAGCTATTGGTCTGGTCCTCTCAGCGGGATTTTATTTTATTCCTCAAGATGAGCTACGCCAAATATTATTTCTTAAGCACAGCCAGCTCTGAAGCTCTGATCTGCATAGCTCTTACCCAGTACCCTCAGCCTTAGACCCCTGGGACTCCACCTCTTTTCCCAAGATATGTATGGGTTTCTTGCTGGCACTACATTCATTCATTCAATTTAATGAGAGCCTATTATGTGCTCCGGCACTGTTCTAGACTGAGGATATGTTAATGAACAAAAGAGACAAAAATGCTTGCCCTCCTAGAGCTTGTATTCTAGTGAAGAGTAAAAAGGAGAGTAGTTACGCTTTTCTGCTCCTTGCAGTTAGGGTCATGAAATAGTTTTGGGTGATGAGTTGTGAGCAGAAGCCTCACTTCTGGGCTGAAGCATTTATTTGTTGGTGCAAGACTCTCCAGTGCACTCTTCCTGCCTCACTCATGGAAGCACATGCAGAAAGAGGAGCCACAAGATCAAAGAAGTCTGGAATACTGAGCTGTCCACATGGTAGGGCAGCTGTTTTGGAGAGTCCCCCAGACCTATAAGGGACTTTGTGGCAACAATAAATAAACTTTTGTTGTGTTAAACCACTGAGACATTGGTGCTTTGTGTTTCTGCAGCATAAGTTGGCCTGTGTGTGTGTGTGTGTGTGAGGAAGATCAGCCCTGAGCTAACATCCATGCCAATCCTTTTTTTGTTTTTTTTGTTTTTTTTTTGCTGAGGAAGACCGGCCCTGAGCTAACATCCATGCCCATCTTCCTCCATTTTATGTGGGACGCCGCCACAGCGAGGCCTGACAAGTGGTGCTTCCGTGCCCACCCGGGATCTAAACCCGGGCCGCCAGCAGCAGAGTGCATGCAGTTAACCACTCTGCCACGGGGCCGGCCCCATGGCCTGTCTTAATAGAGGCGGCTATTCTGCTAGAGCCCAGGAACATTTTCTTTTTTCATTCCACCTGGCTTTTGGCCTTCAGAAGAGACCCAGCTTCCTCGAGGTGCTCCACTGAATTGATGTAACACTGATGGGACACTTAGGAGTTTACAGGCTATAGGTGATAGGAAAGAAAGACTGATTGCTTACCTGGGACAAGTCCTGGGGAGGTCAGTTGTTCAAGTGCACAAGGCAGTCATCTGTTCCTCTCTCTGGTCTTATTCCACTTTGTTCTTTGTCCTCCTGTGCTCTGCTGCCCCACATGCACAAGATGTGTTTCTATTGCTCGATGGGCTAGGGAGAGGGTAGGGATTGCCTTCCGTTCCTCATGTGAGTGCAGTACTATTCAAGGAATGGTCGTACCTTCTGTGAGTTGTGGCTCAAAAAACACAGACATAGTGCAGAAAGAAATTGTCTGGATTGATGTAGAGAGGAAGGTGGCTGCTCTTCCTGGACTAAGGGGTGACATTTGGGAAGAAGCTTGGGCAGGAAAGCAGGAGCAGGACACTCCAGTTGGGGAATGAGAAGCTTCCAGTGGGAAAGTCCTAGCTTAGCCAATAACCAGCAGCACGATGTCTCACAACTTATTCTTGGAATTCGGGGTGGACATGTGGAAGTTGAAAGAAGGAATTTCAATGGTCTTGTCATAAGGATGAGAGCAGATTACATAAAAACAGATTTTGAAATCTGTTGAGGCTTGGTTTAAAGATAAAATCTGAGACAACCCTAGGTTCAACCTCAGGCATTAATATTAAAGTTCTCACAAATATGTCCTCCACAACCAGATGATTTTTCTAGGACAAACCAGAAGGTGCTTTATTTTAGTTTGTTCAGAAAACAGCCAGAAAACAGTGGCTCCAAGGTTGGTTTGAGAAATAGATCATTGACCCAGTCTAGCCCCCAAATCCTCGACCCCTTCTCTGCACTTGTCTAAGTAGCCACAGTGCTGAGATCATCCCAGACCCAGAGTTCTCCCCACCATTAAGCACTGTGGAATTTCAAGCTGATCTTGAGAACCTCGGCTATCTTTTAACTGGAGGGGAAGAGCAGGAGGAGAGCTTGAAATCAAACTAAGACTGCTAGGGTTTCAATCAGCTTTTGCAACCAAGAACAGTGTTTAATTCCCTGGAGAGTTTGAGAGTAAGAATGCTAAGCAGGTTTTCTATCCAACCGGACAGTTGGGATAACAAAAGATTTGAACTCCATAAAGGATTTTCCAAATATTCGAGTCACTCCACCGACAAGTGTTTACTGAGCACCTTCTGCATTTCCTGTCCAGTTCCCACTCTCATGTGTAATGGATCAAGGCTGCCCATCACTTTTCTCTTAGGGGTTTTCCCTCTAGTGCTTAGGGTGGATTATTTGCTGAAGGCCTCCTCATTCTTTCAGTTCTCTCCTGTGCAGAGTCTCCAAAGTGCCCTCAAGTAGGAAATGTTGAAGCTTTACCCATACTGTGTTTTTAGGGTTCTTTCCAAACAAGTGCAAAAGCATATTGTTACTGAATCTTTTCCACACTTCTCACTTTTATAGTTTCTTGTGTGGGTTCAATGAGGAGCAAGGCTGGAACACCATTTGTAGCATCCACCAAACTCACAATATGTGTAGGGTTTCTTTCATGCATGAATTCTCCAATGGGCAATGATGCTGGCTATAGTGACATGCTTTCTGCAGTCAAGCGTCTGTAAGGCTTTTCTCCTGTATAATTCACCCACATCTGATAATGCCTGCACTTTACTTAAAGGGCTTCCCCCATCTACCTCTCATGGGAAGAATTAAGCAAGTTCTTGACTTCTGTTGAGTTTCAGAGTTAGCAAAACTATCAGAATCACTTTGCATTTCTACCACAGTAAGATGATGAATCTCGAGTTGCACTGATCTTAGCACTAACACGAAAAATTAAGCTTTATATCATTCGGGTACATGGCACCTTTAAGGAAAAGCTTGGTAAGATTTCTTACTATTGGGGCCGACCTGGTGGCTGAGTGGTTCAAGTTCCACACACTCCACTTCAGCGGCCCAGGTTTGCAGGTTCAGATCTTGGGCGTGGACTTACGTTACTCACTAGCCATGCTGTGGCGGCATCCCACATACAAAATAGAAGAAGACTGGCACAGATGTTAGCTCAGGGCTAATCTTCCTCAGCAAAAAAAAAAAAAAAAGCTTACTGTTGAATTTTTTTAAACCAATGGATATAATATTTCCAACATAATTTTCACACTAAGCATTTGTACATGACTTGTACAAACAACTGAACAGTTTTGAAGCATTTGAAAAAACCAAAAGTGGAGGATCTTTAATGTTCACAAAGACAAAAGTAAAATAGTTTTAACTTTAGAAAAATCTTAAATAAATTTAAAAATGTTAGTAGCTTAAGGAATGGTAGTTTCTTCTCACACAGAAGAGTTAGGAAAATGTTTTTTTTTCAATGTTTTCTTCATCTTTTAACTATGGTGAGTAAGCATTACACAGCATCAAAGTTATTATCCTACTTAAAAGAGACGTTCATATTTCCAATCTTATTCTTTGAGTTAAGAGGCACTTCTACAATATTCTCCTCTTGGATCTCTCCAAAGCTCCCACATTTTAAAATCCACACTTGTACAAGGGCTTTCTCTTCCCTTGACTTTCGCTCATATACCAGTCAATCATGTCCACTCTTACAACTCTGAGCACTGTTTATTCCCTTCATAGCATGTATCACAACTTAGAGTTATTTGGTTTGTTTACTTGTGTTTGTCAGTCTTCATTAAAATGTAAGCATCAGAAGGGCAGGGGCTGTTTGTCTTGTGAACCCTTGAATCTTCAGTGTTGAGCACCAGACTGACACATCGTAATATGTAATAAACACAAGAATGAAAATATATCAAACAAGAAAAACTGCCATGGCCACCTGAACATTAGCTTTGGTTACTCAGAACATTCCCTGGTTCAGTGATCTCCCTTCTTCAGGTGTCGAGTGCTTGACAGATGTGTGATGGCCACAAGTCCTGGTCTTGTTCTTTACCAGGAGAGATGGAAGAGAATAGTATGCAGGTCCTCTGAAGGAGCACACAGAGAACTCACATGTTGGGGACATATGAATGTCTAAGGCTATCGTTCTATCTGCAAGAATGCTCAAGCCCAGAGCTCAGGGAGCTTCACCCTAGAATAGGAAGACTGGATTCCATGTGCACCCGAAGGAAAGCATCTCCACTCAGGTTGCCTCTCCTCCCAGCACCCATGCCAACAATGTCTGCTTTCCAACACTTGCCAGTAGCAAGGGCCTGAATGCTCACACAGACCTAGTGGTATTGCAAGCACTTGATGCCTCTCCTCCCACAGACTCTTAACACTGAGGCATGTAGAAAGATTTGGAAGGGGCCTTAGAAATCTGACTCTGTCAGTGGGTCCAAAACTGGTACTCAGAGAACACTCTGTGAGATGTGCAGAGATACTCCATGAAAAGAGTATTCTATACCCAAGTAAATTTGGGGACAGTGGGTT